TGCTCTTCCGATCTCCCCAAAACCCCAAAACCCCTAAGAGCCATATTTTAAGTCAAAATTTGATTCTAATTTTTGCAAATAAATGCCCAGAATGATCAATATCTAATTGTCTTTGTCTTCGATCATTTTCCTTGGTAGTATTTCTCTACCACTTTAGCAAGCTTTGCAATCTAAAATCCCAAATCTTTATTGGCTTAGGTAAGCACAAATCCTGGAATGCTTCCCTTGAGATCCATTAGGGCTTGGAACTAGCAGAGAGTTCTTCTAGGGTTATCAGGTGATGGTACCAATCTCCATCCTCCAAGCTAATTGATAAACATCAAAAGACATGAATCTTACATCAAGGAAACCTCTGACTACACTTTTCTGTGGTGCCAATAAGTCATCTCTGTCAACTGAGTTTACCATAGCATATAAAATGCCATCTGGTCTCTAAGCAAAATGTATCATTAATAAATGACTTTACCTTATTCACATGAAGTATATAGATAAAATCTCTTGCACTGACAACTGCTATTTTTTTAGTTCTCTAGTATTGGATGAAGGTCTAATGAGCAATAGTATCTAAACACCATCCATCGTCATAAGTATCATCGTAATCCTTTCTTAAGGAGAGATCACCAATTACCTTGAAGATCTCTTCTGGAGTTCTATCAATATAGGCCTCTGCTTTCATAGCTTTAAGTCCATCTTAATTTCTTTGCCAAATAGTCACACCTTGCTTCTTATCTTCTGTTAAGACCTTCCAGTCTGGAAGATTAAGAGCTGCGACATATTTATCATAGAAAGTCATCGCCTAGTCCAAATATTCTAAAGATAAAGCTAAGTAAAAACAATGAAAATTTACTAATTTTCTCAGGGCTATACTAGTGTTTAAGCTTGTTAAAGTCCTCAATACAATGCACTTTATCAACCTTATCTCTTGGATGGAAAGTATGACTAAAGACAGGTAATTCATCACCATTACTATTTGAAATAAAACTCTTTTCAATAAATTGTGCGTCATTTAGATCAGCCTTACTTTGCTTTAGTGAGTCTTGATTTTAAATGTCTGATTGTTAGAGATTGCTGTCTTATTTCTTTATAGTCTTTTCAGATTCAGACTAAACATCAGATTCCTCATCAGCTATGAAGTTGTTAACAACAGGCATATTATCCTTAGTCATGTCTAACTTTACTTATTAATTGCTTTGAACTCCTTTCCCAAGAGAGATTGATGTTTATCCTAATCTATTTTATTACTGTGTAAAAGTTCTTAGATTAGATAAGCATCTGTAAACTTCTTTGCCTCTTATATAGAACATTTATGGGTTCACCATAGTATACATAGTTATTCTTAACTGATAGAGTCTGTTTTCTACTGATTCCAGGATATAGTATCTATAAAAGTCAGCATTAACATATTCCTAGATGATGTATCTATCATTTTCCTAGAAATATTCGAATCTTGACACCTCACTTCTGCCGTCATCATATTCAACTTTAATGACATCTTATTTTTCATTCATTTTTTGCACAGTTTTTGCTCTTACATCCCACTTCAATCTCAGTTTATCATCAATCAATGAGTTAACAACTTCATCTGGAGTGGCAATAAGCTGAGTAACTGCTTTCAATTCAAAGGTTTCTTGAAGTTGGATCTTTGTCTCTATTGAATTCGAAGGAGCTCTTCTAAGCTACATAAATATCTAGGATATAATAGCTATTATACCGAATCCAGCCACTAGCTTTATAGCATTGACAATCCTCACTGGTAGGATAGGTTCAAAAAGGACAAGGTAATCAACAGCAAGAAGGATCAGGTAGAGGACCATAATAGTAATCATATTTTACTTGTTCAGAATATATTCTCTGCTTCTCAAGATATCCATCTGCTTAATAGCATCGAGGATCCTATCTTATGAAGATATTGATACCTTTTTACCTGCTGAATAAGCCAAGCAACTGTCCTTTCCATCTATTAGGAACCAATATCTTTTCTCATAAGTGTCTAATCTCTATTTAGGGCCTTAAGTTTATACTTGTTCCAGACTAAGATCCAAAGTGAATTTGCTGGCGACTGTTTTCTAACTCTTAGTCAAGCTAATGTCAGAGATATCAGATTACTAAGACTATAGCTTGTTTATCTTTCCATTAGTTTCTGTGTTATATCTTTGAATGTTACTACCCTGGCCCACCAGCATTGATCTTTAATTATTCTCAGTCTGCTAGCTCTATCTCAGCTCTAAGTTGAAGTCAGTTTGATTGAATTAGTCTGAGTTCATATTATTTTTTATAACAATCAGCCATTTATCGAAAACTTGTGCGCTTTCTAAAGCCAAATAGATTTCGACTCCATTTTCTTAAGAAATTGACATCACTCTCTCCTCTTGTGTAGGTCCTTGGATAACATAGACTCTGGAATTTTTCAAATCTATCTGTGCTCTTATTTTAACATCATCTAAGTAAGTTGAAATAATTGTCAATTTATATTACTTTTAGATTTTTTATAAGAGAAAGTAGAATTAGTTACCGAAGCGAAACGACGAACCCACAATTGCTTTCTACGGAGCATTACATGACCTGAAATCATAGATAATCCTTGACTCTGTGTAGTAGAGTAGTTCAGTGACGTGTCAATTCTAGACTGCCCCGTCATTGATTATTATAAAGACATTTCTCAATATTAATTTTATTTTGATATTCCAAGTCAAAATTATTACAAGATTCAACTAAAGATACAATCCTCACAAAATTCAGTATTACGGGGTTTTGGGGTTTTGGGGTTTTGGGG